GAAAAACAAAACAAAAAACAGCCCCCAGTGCATTTGAGGAAAGAATGGCAGACTTTTCGCCAGAGTTTCACATTCTGAAGTATTCTTGAGGGCATGATGTGGACAGGGACCCAAAAGGATCCAAAATAGGCTTGTTCCCCTCCCCCCTTGGATCCCTTTTTACCACTGGTGCCCCTCTGACCATATTGCCAATCAGCATCTCATGCAGATGGCTGGTCTTTCTAGCTAAGCTGGGAGCTCTCTCTATAAAGAAAGGCCTATGGTGCTTCAACCACAGATAGATAAAGCTTTTTAAGCCAGGCCAGTGCATCAGCTTTGCTGTTTGTTGGCTTTCTGTGATTATGCATGGTCAAGGCAAGTCAGATATTTATCATTTGGGGCTAGAATAAATACACTGAGAGGTGTATAGTTTATATTCAGGTATACTTTATACACAGGTATAAAGTTTCAGAGCAAGTCAACAATAGGGGTCATAGGAGGCATCCCAAACCAATACATGCCAGTTTGACCAATGTCATCTAAAATAGCTTAGCTTTGATTTTTTTTCAGCCAGTGTCAAAAGAGAGACTCTAAAATTGTTACTATGTGTCCATGTCTGATGCTACACCATTTTATTTTTTCTAGAAATGCTCTTAAGTGAATTCTGATTAGAATCATTCCCTCCCCCCCTAAAAAAACCTTTATCCCAATTCTAGGTTGTCAGAGCAGAATAAAAAGTAAAGTGAAAGGCCCTCCAGCTCAGAAACTCTACAGATATCAGTCGGGTAAATATTCAGGAAGAAAATGAATCGTTCTCTGCTGCTCTCATCCCCAAGTTGTTCAGCTGGAACACCTACAAGGATGTTGTACTTGGGAAAACAGCATGTGGCCGCTCCTGTCTGTTGGTGTATTGTCTGTGGCGGCTTTCATGCTACAACAACAGAGCTGGGTTGTGACAGAGACTGCATGGCCTGCAAAGCCTGAACTATTCACTGTCTGGCCCTTTACCATAGAAGTTTGCCAACCCCTACGTGAGATCATCATCCCACTCACTTTATAGATAAGCAATCTAAGGTAGGAAAGCAAAGTGACTTCGTAGCACTTTGTATAGGGTTCGTTCTATTGCAGTTACTCTTGTCTGTGCCTGTCCTTTCTACTGGAAGGGACACAATCTTTTCCCCACACTGTTTTTCATTTAAGCACTTACTGATAGGGGCGCCTGGGTGGCTCAGTTGTTAAGCAACTGCCTTCGGCTCAGGTCATGGTCCCAGGGTCCTGGGATCGAGTCCCATATCGGGCTCTCTCCTCTGTGGGAAGCCTGCTTCTCCCTCTCCCACTCCCCCTTGCTTGTGTTCCCTCTCTCACTGTGTCTCTCTCTGTCAAATAAATAAATAAAATCTTAAAAAAAAAAACAAAAAAACAAAAAAAAAAACAAAGCACTTACTGATAAAGGTTTGTTGAATTGCACTGACTTGCCCAGAGCAACAGGGGCAGTTTGCAGTGGAGCCTGGGTTAAAACCCAGATATACAGTTTCACGTGCCAATGGTGAGAACCACCAACAAGCTATGGAACTGGATGAGTTAATGATCCTCTCTGAGCCTCAGTTTCCTCATCTGCAAAATGGAGGTTATAATCCATCCTTGTAGGGCTTTTGTGAGAAATTGTTGAGATCAGATATGTATGGAATAGGCCCTCCATAAGTAAGGATTCCCTCCCCACTCCTTTCTCTCTCTACACTGGAGCCCCTGAACTGTTAGGGTTTCCTGAGGACACATACTTGTGCACCTCCTGCTAGAGACGAGAGCCCGTGCTCACCTCTTCGGGAGATACAAAGAGTGTTTCCCCATGCAGTGGCAATGATGAGCCTGATGCTGTAGCTACCCCTCCACACCTCACCCCAGGCTGGCAACAGAGGAAGGGAGAGGCCCAGATGTCTTTCCTGTTCCTGTTTCTCTCCAGAGGGAGCTGGCTCACATTGCCCTCCATCTCTCTTCCTGCTGCTTAGACTTCTCGAGCACCTGTGGCTCTGACCTCGCCTCCCCAGCCTCCCTCCCTGGTTCCTACCACTCTGTCTGGTTATGCCCCACTTCTCTCTGACTTCTTCACTTCGGAGCATGGCTGATTGAATAAGCCGCTTCCTAGGCCCCCTGCTTTCCTGGGGTGATGCTCAAAGAGGGAAACCATTAGTCAAGGAGAGGTGTGAGTCAGTACATCAACAGGAGTGAGAGAGTAAGGCACGTTTATTTTCATGTTAAAGTGAAACAGTTTACAGGGGTGAGGACACACTCTTGCATAAACTGCAAAAATGAATGCCAACACAGTTTACTAGATCAACAATTGGATTTCCAGAGAATTGTTTCATGAATTCAAAACTGAATGGCTTGCTCTCAGTCTATCAGTGAAGTGCAGGACAATCTATCTCCCTCTGACCAGATCATAGGTAGTGGCCAGGAAACACAGACATAAAGATACAAGCAAAAACAGTTCTCTCTCTCTCTCTCTCCATCTTTCCCTCTCTCCCTCTCTCCCTCTCTCTCTCTCTCTCTCTCTCTCTCTCTCTGGCTTTTAGACACCGGAGGTGAAATCCAAATCCAGATATTATAAAAACCATTTCAAAATAGCCACAGTTCTTATTATTTGGACTAATTTTTAGTGAGGAGTTGTTAATGCTGGAAAGTACTAACTATAGGTTTTTTATTTTATTTTATTTTATTTTATTAAAGATTTTATTTATTTATTTGTGAGAGAGAGAGAGCATGCACAAGCAGGGGGAGTGGCAGGCAGAGACAGAAGCAGGCTCCCCACTGATCAGATAGCCCGATGCAGGGCTCAATCCCAGGACCCTGGGACCATGACCTGAGCCAAAGGCAGACACTTAACCAACTGAGCCACCCCGGTGTCCCTCAAAGATTTTATTTTTAAGCAATCTCTACACCAAATGTGGGGCTCAAACTGACAACCCCAAGATCAAGAGTCGCATGCTCCACTGACTGAGCCAGCCAGGCACCCTTAGATTTTTAATTTTAAATAAATACAGATTGACTTTCAAGTATAGCCAGTAATTCAACCTGTTCCGTTTTGTTTTTGTTTTTTTTCAATAACGCTGTTAAATAAAATTCATATTGGATTTGTTTCAGCAAATAAGAACAGAATTGTGATCGGCACCACTCTCACTGGTTGGCCAAGAGCTGCTACTAATGCCCTAGAAGAGTCTCTTAAGTAGGTTACAAATTCTCCTTTGAAATCATGATTATGCTTCACTTGTTTCACAAGCTCTGCTTTGATGGTCTAGTCCTCGCAAAATGGAAAATTCAGAATTTGTAGAGTTTAAATAAAAACAGAATCACTGATAATGACCGGGAGGCAAGTCAGAGGCATTTTGAAAATTGCTGGCCTGATGTACACGAAGGCATTAGATGCACTTCTCAGAGGAGAGTGCCAGGCTTCATGGCCACCCTCAGCAAGGCCCTGAGGACTTCATCTGGGGGGAGGCCCTTGTCTCTTCATATTAAATGATGTAATGCTCTGAGCCTCCCTTTCTTTTTGAAGTTTCTGGCTTCAAGGAGCTGACAGGAAATAGCACTGAATGGGGAGTTCGGATACTGGGTTCCCATTCTGGTTCTGATACCTGCTGGTTATATAACCTTGCGTAGGACATTTCTTCTTTGGGGGCCATCTGCAAATATGGCAGGTGGAGCTCAGTTGACCAAACCAGACAAATAACCACTGTGTAGGGCCAGCTAGAACGAAACTCGCTTGGATGATGATCATTAAACAGGGCCTTTTGGTGACTAGTTGGACTCTGTCATTTCTGCCAGAGAAGGGAAGGGAGGGACCCGTCCAAGGTCACACTGTTAGTTAGAGGCAGAATCACATTAGAACCCAGATTTCCTGACTCCTACTTCTGTGCTCCGGCCAGAATACCACATCATCTCAAAAATCCTAAAGGAAGTACATTTCATCTCTCTTGCATCATATATCTCCCAGACACACTGCTGAATTTGGTCTCCATCCTGCCCACTCATCAAAACCGCTCTGGATTAAGTAGCTAAGTCCTTCCATTCTTTGCATGCAAAATTCTGCCCACACCAGTGGCTTCTCTGAGACATGAAAGAGGCAGGCTGAGAGCCAACCTTTGCCCGAACCCACCCTTTAGGAGCAGGAAAGAAACAGGGTCTGTGTTCCCTAGGGTACCTCACTTTGGAGTCAAGGAACGAAAACTTTGAGATGAATTTTCAGAGATCACTTCCCCACTTTAATCTTATCTTGCAGGTTATTGAGCCATGCAATGAACTTAGAAGGAAGGTCCCTCACAGGGGCACAGATATTCTTAAAAAAGAATTCTGGAGCTAAGAGAAAGCCTCAGGGCTGGAGTTCTGGTATCTGGCCTCCACTCGACAAGAGAGAGGGCCCTGCACCCAAGGCTAGCTTGTCAGTGGATGAGTGGAGCTCTCATCTCCAATATATCAAAAACAAAACAAAAACAAAAACAAAAAACTTCCACCTTGTCAGACCCCATCCAAGCCACTAACTCCAAATCTGGAATGTGAACAAACAGGATTAAATGAGAGAGAAGGTGCTAGATGAACCCTAAACACCATGCACATGGAAGAGATTATCATTTTTCCCTGCCTGATAACTCCTTGGATATTCTCCAAAGCCCAGCTCAAATGTCACTTCCAAACACCCAGTCAGACGAACCCAAGTTCAAATCTTAGCTCCACTGCCTATTTGCTGTGTGACCTTGAACAGTGCTTTAAATTCATTAGGCCTCCGTTTCTTCCCCTGCCAATGGTGGATCGTAATAATAACCATCAGATGATTGGGAGCTGAGCCAAGGTCACTCTTGCCAAGCACCTGGCAAAGAATAGGGCTTTAAATGTTGAATGAATAGCAAAGGGAAGCAGAGCACCCATCTCTTGAGGCCTGACCCAGCAATTTCTACTCTACAGTCACTGGTCTCTCCCCTCATCTTTTTACCCCAAAGGGGCTACAGAAATTTGAGCCAGGCTGTCCTTACCTTGCTGAGGTCCCCTAGGGCCATGACCTTGGCCACTGGCCTCCTGCTGAGCTGCTCCTTCACCCAGACCTCGAGCTGCTTATTCCACTTCATGGTGAACACATATAAAGCATAGGCCAGCAGTAACAGCAGGCTTTCCCACCAGGTAATGAGGCTGTCCAGGAAGAAGAGAATGAGCATTATCAGGTCAAGGATGTAGAAAGAGACATCACGGAATAAGGGCCACCATGTGAGATTGAGGATCTCCCGGGAGAAGAGGGCACAGGTGCCGATGACAAAGAGGATGTTGAACACAGCAGAGCCCACGATGGTACCAATGCCCACGTTGCTGTGAGAGATGAAGACACCAATGAGGGAGGTGAAGAGCTCAGGGGCAGAGCCTCCAGCAGCCATGAAGGTGGCACCTGCCACATCATCTGAGATCTGCAGTTTATCTGTGATGACACCCAGGGCTGGGACAAAGTACTCGTCACACACGATGGCCAAGGCCACAAACACGTACATCATGCCAAAGATGTGCAGGACCACCCAGCCCTGTCGCCTCTCCTCTATGCTGAACAAGTCTGGGGGGTACTCTGCCTTGGAGTGAAGGTCTGGCCACCCAGGAGGCAGCGCTGAGGGATTGGAACTGGGTGCCTCTGGGATCATAGCTGTTGTCAGGCTGGGGGAGGGAGCAGGGGGCACCGCTGGGGCTGGCTCCACAACCACACAGTGACGGACCTGGATGGTTGGATTTGCCCTGACCTTGGAGGGTGATGAGGGCCTGGGTGCCATGGAAGATTTCTTTGCCAGCCCCCGGAAGGTGGCGGAGGATATTCCACTGGTCGACACGCTGGTTCCAGATAAGGGATTACTAACACTCCAGGTAGCGGTAGAGGCTTTGGTTTCTGTTGGGCCACTGCCTGTCGTGGTGGTGCGTATTGTCACTCGCCCCTCCGAGATGGCCGTGGTGTGCTCCAGGCCCACTCCCAGGGGCGCCGTCAGCTTGTTCTTTCCCACTAACCCCCGGGGCTTGGTCCATCTGTTATTATCCACTCTTCTGGGGGTAGTCAGGGTGTTCTCTTCCGTCATACTCCTTGGAGAAGTCAAGATGCTTGTTTCCATGTCATTTATCAGGGGAGTTGGCGTTTTATTAATTAGTCCCTTGAGAGTAGTTGGGGTGGTTTCCTCTACTATTCTCTTAGAGGGGTTGGTCTCCAATATTTTGGTGGTTGCCATAGTTTCACTGTCTTTCACTGTTGTTCTGGGGGTGATCCCATGGCTCTCTGTCATTGTCATGAGTGTGGATGGGGCATAAGTGCTTACTAGTCTACCAAGTGGAGATGGGGTATATTTCATCACCTTTCTCCCAGCCTGAGTTGGGTGATAGCTCTGCATTTCTACCCTGGGTGATGTTGTTGGGGTATGATTCTTTACTGTTGGCCTTTTTGAAGTTGGGGTGTAGTGATTCAGTACTCTACTGGGTGTGATTGTGGTGTCTTCCTTCGTTCTTTCTGCGTCTGCAGCTGTTAGGCTGTAGTTATTCTTGGGCATTGTTGGAGTGATGTTGGCTGTCCTTCTGGGTGGATTGGGGGTATTCTCCATTGTTATGCCACGTGTTGCCTCATCCTTGCCCACTGTAGTTTGGGGCACCCGTGTGTCACCCATCATTTCAGAGCTAGCTCTTGGAGGGTCACTGCTCACCATCATCATATCGTTGTTAGGGAGGTCACGGCTGGCCAGTTTTACAGGGTGTTGGGAGGAGACTGCTGCCCACAATGAGGGGAGGCCCCGGGGGCTCCTCAGGTGCTGGTAGGCGGAACCGATGATCAACATTCCCAACAGGAAGAAGAGTCGACTCCAAAGAAGCCGCTTTGGCCAGAGTAACCGCCTCTTCCGTGTTCCCATTCTGATCAATTTCCCCATGATGGCCAGTTATGCCTGGTTACAGAAGACCTCTCATTCTGTCCATGGAAAGATGGGGTCTGTTTTGGGATTCAGGTTGGTGATCAGTGAAGATTTCTCCATGAAGCCCAGCCAGGGGGTATCCACAAACCTGAGGGAGGGTAAAAAAAAAAAAAAAAAAAAAGAGGTTATTTGCCCCTAAGAGGAGAGCTGGGAGCCATCAAACCATCACCTAGAAAAGAGTGATGACAATTCATATAGAGGCCTTTGTGCTAGGAAGCAGTTGTTTCTGCTGGAACAAAACTACCCCTACTGCCTGTTCCAGAGAAAAATGCCCACTCTTAGGAAAAAGCATTAGAGGTCCTCTGTGCTGCGTAGGCTGTTGGCATGCCTGGGTCTACCTCACCCTCTTTGGGATCCCTGCGAGAGGTCTGCCAGCACCCCTCAGGTCCAAGCCTGAGTTGCTGGGAGCCAGTCATCCACAGTTGGTGCCCCAGGCCACAGATCTCACCTTGTCAAAGGCAGGAGGAAGATAAGGAGACAAGATTTTAAGCTTTAGACAAAAATAGGCAGCGGAAGAAGGCAGTGCTAGAAACATCAAGACTCCGTGTGGGTGTTTTTTGGTTTTTTGGTTTGGGACCCATTTAAAACATTCCACGGTATCACCCAGAGAGGACAAAGCTAATGTCATGATGCTTCCCAGACAGTGTGGTGTGGTGGGAAGAACATGGGGAATGGAGTCAAGGCCTGGATTTCCAGCCCTGCTGCTTTCCAGCTGTGCCACCCTGGACAGGCGAACCTCATTGCCTCATCTGTGAAATAAACGTGTTAACATGTGGGTTGATTATGCAAAGATGATCCTTGGAAGGACATCCGGAGAAGGGAAACAGAGATCGGGGTCTGAGGAAGACTTACTTTTCAGTAAATCCTGATTTCAGTTTAACTGTTTAACCTTTTTATCCTGTGCCGTTTCATGATATTTTAATAGAAATAACAATAGGGGGCGCCCGGGTGGCTGTTGGTTAAGTGGTTGCCTTCAGCTCAGGTCATGATTCCAGGGTCCTGGGATCGAGCCCCGCATCGGGCTCCCTGCTCGGCGGGGAGCCTGCTTCTCCCTCTCCCTCTGCCTGCCGCTCTGCCTACTTGTGCTCTCTATCTCTCTGTCAAATAAAGAAATACAATCTTTAAAAAAAAAAAAAAGAAATAACAATAGTAACAACACATACCTATGTCACAGGAATGTTGAGAGAGTAAAAACACATAAGGTCTATGAAAAGCATTGTACAGAATCAAGTGCTACATAAGGGTTAATTTTATATAAAATTTTAATTTTATAGTTTTATATAAAGGTTTAATTTTATATTCTTCAGGAGGGGAAGAAGATCATGAAGGGCTCTGAAAAAATCCTCAATTTATAAAGAAGGGCACTGAGGTCCAGCCCAAGTAAATATTTATTAAATCTCTAGTGTCTGCAGATTATTATAAAACAATAACTAGAAATGGTTGGTTTTGCATTTAAAGGAATATATTAGAAGTGAGATGAGTGACTCATGGAGTCTCAGGTCATTAAAGGTAGGAGGACTTACAGACACTAGTTAGCGTAACTCCCCATTTGGGACCTGAAGAAGCTGAGATCCAGAGAGGAGCTGGACTTGCTCAACCTGACACAGCTTGTGAGTGGCTGCGCAGGTGAGCCTTCTAATGCCCCAATCTTCCCAGCAGGCCACACTAATTAGAGACGCAAATGCATTTGTCTTTTTTTTTTTTTTTTTTAAGATTTTATTTATTTGAGAGAGAGAGCGCGCGCACATGAGAGAGGGGAGGGTCAGAGGGAGAAGCAGACTCCCTGCTGAGCAGGGAGCCCGATGTGGGACTCGATCCGGGACTCCAGGATCATGACCTGAGCCGAAGGCAGTCGCTTAACCAACTGAGCCACTCAGGCGTCCCCAAATGCATTTGTCTTAAAGCAAAAAAGGAACAAGCAAAAGGAGAAGTACAGAATAAGTACATTTCCTTCTCTGTCCTTGATTTCTGTAACCGTCTTCCCAGTGGCCCTGTCCCTTGCCATAAACTCAACTCCGCAGCAAGCTGCTTGACTCTCCTAAAGAAACTTGGGAGGGTCTCTTTCTTTCTGTGTTGTCTAACGGAGCTGAGCCGGCACCCCAGCTGACCCCTCCTACCTAATCACATCATTTACCTTCACACCTGGACATCTGAGTGTCTTCTTAGTTCTGGAAACTTGTCAGAATCCAGGGTCTCAAAGAGTGAGTCTGAAGCTGGACAGCAGGAAACACCCCATTCTCCTGTACCCAGCTCCCCTGTGGAATCCTAATTCAAGGCAGGTCGGGTGTGAAGGGCATCTCAGGGGAAGAATATCCGATCCCTGCTAATACCTGCCTCTAAGAAGCTTATCAGGGCATTGTACAAGTTCTGCGTCCCAGTGCCTCTGCCAGGGTGGGCCTTCCACTGGGGAAACAGATGGGCTCTCCGTGGTCCCCTGCAGTCAACAAGGAAACTGGGGAAACTTCTCAAACTTGGTTCTAAGCTCTAGGAAGGAGAGATGGTGCAGGGTTACCATGCTTAGGGGGAGGAAAGATCTGGAAAGATTCAGAAGGCACTCTGAGGGAACCAAGAGAAAGTGTCTGGGGCTTAAGAGATCAGAAGACCTCAGTTAACACCAGGCTCTGTTTGCTACTGTGTGATTCTAAATGTAATCTAAGTGTCCATGTGGAGATAGTAATACCAGTCCTGCCTCTTTGTAGGGCTGATGTGAGAATCAAAATTAAAAATGAGGGAATATCTGCTCGGTATCACTGTGAACCTAAAACTGCTCTAAGAAATAAAGTTTATTTTAAAAGATGAGGGAATGTGGGGAAAATACTTTAAACTTTGAAGCATTTGGCACGCGAAAAATATTTTATTAGGCCTAAGGGAAATCCTTGGTAGGGAGGACACAGATCTCCCAAGAGCAAGAGGGGACATCCCAGGATACCCAAGGAATTATGCAGCCAACTCAGGGCTGGAGGTGTTGAAATGAGGGTGGGGTAAGGCAATGGGAACTTATGACCCTACCCATTGACGTGGAAGCCATTTTATTTATTTATTTTTTTTTTTTAAAGATTTTATTTATTTATTTGAGACAGAGAGAATGAGAGAGAGAGAGCACATGAGAGGGGGGAGGGCCAGAGGCAGAAGCAGGCTCCCTGCCGAGCAGGGAGCCCGTGGAAGCCATTTTAATCATCTAGCTCTGCGTGATCCTTACTGACTGCTCCTTTCTCCCCTCCCTGTTTCCCCCAGGGACACAGATCACATGCAGTTTTGATTGTTCTCCTCTGAAATAGCAGGTAATCCCCCACAGCTTCACCCCTGCCCTACTTTATCCAGAGTGGCCTATAAGGGTAAGAAGGTGTCCAGGTCCCCCTGCTGAGGTACACAGGGGTGTCCACCCCTTATGGAAGCAGGGAGAGAAGAGCTGACCTCTGCTAGTCACCACATCCTTGCCTTGCCAGATCTAGTCACTTCCCGTCTCAGTGACCCAGCTGTCTAACAGCCTCAACCTGGCCCAGAAAGATGGAAAGAAGAAGGGTACCTGAGTGGTTCAGTTGGTGAAGCATCTGATTCTTGAACTTGGGGTCAGGAGTTCAAGACTCACATTGGGCTATAAAAAAAAAAAAAAAAAAAAAAGATGGAAAAAGGAACCCAATTCACAAGGAAGAATTATGAGAGATCTTTTTATTTTCCTAGAATAATTCCTCTATTTTTTACAATGCTATTTGTGCCATACAGGAAATTCGGGGGAGAAGCAAATTCCCAGAAAAGGCATTCCTTTTCTCGTATACTTATAACTGTTGCCAAGGAGTTCTTTCTAGTGTCTAACCTAAATCTCACCTGCGGGGGTTGAGCCTGGTTCCCCCTGTCTTGTTCTCAGGGGACTGGGGCACACTTTGAAATTCACCAGGCTGTAGACAGGTCTGCTGCTCAACCAAGAGCAGAAGCATCGCCCGGACTGGCAGGGTGAGTTCGGGCAAGTTATTTCACTTCTCAGTGGCTGTAAATCTCTCCTGTGGTGGGTAATCACCCTACCTGCTTGGTAGGCTCGTTGTGAAGATAAAGTAAATTAATATGTAAAACATACCAACACGGTCTGGTACTGTTGTTATTCTACTTATGGAGACCACAGACCGCTAGGGGGCAACAGGTCCCCAAGCATTCCATTGTGACAGCACCGTCCTATGTACTTATTCGTGTGATCACCTGACTTGTGTCTGCATCTCTTAGTAGCAAGTGAGCTCCATAGAGGACAAGGACCTTGCCTGTGTATTCAACACTGAATCCCCAGTGTCTGGCACCCAGTAAATACCTTTGTGGATGAAATGAAAAGGGACATCCCAGTGAGGAGACGGTCAGAGATGGGGTGCCTGAGCTACACACTGGGGTGAGAAAGGGGGAGGAAATGCCCACTCACAGAGGTTCATGGCCATTCAGAAACAAAGTGCTGGAGAAAGACCAGTACCAACAGGAGGGAAAGATGATCTCCTTTGTTCCACCAATTTGTCTCATTTTATACTCTCCATCGAACAGGGTGGCAGGGCAAGTGGGGCAGTTTTGGCTCTGACCCTCCCAGTAATATCAGGGTCTGAGGAAGGCAGGGTTTAGAGGCTACGCAGGTCAGCAGGGAGGCCTTTCCTTCCCCTCCGCAGCTCAAGGCCTTTCCCATGGTTCTATTAGAACAGGAGAAAGAAGGAATGAGATTTTTTTGCCTAATGGCAAAGGGTTTGTGGCTGAGGCTGGTTTATTTCTGGGCCCACATCAGGAGTTGAGATGTTGACCTTATAGTTGCAGAGTGGAAAGTAGACAAGATTTGGCAGGGGTTGCAAAATCAAATGCCTTCAGGACCTGGGTGAATAAAATTAAGTTAAATTAGCTCTATTCAAAGTCAGTAGAAGACTAACGAGGGCTGCGTCTGGACAGAGAAAGAATGACCCATCAGTAGTCATTCCAATGTAAAACAATTTAAAAATATTAAAAGGTAGACAAAATGTGCTGAATTAGACCCACGGGTACTACTTTGCAACATCTAATAAAGTAATAAGCCTGACCAGGAGCAAGTCTCCTAAGGTCTCTCAAAGTCTGGTTCCTCATTTATACAAC